CCCCAAAACCCCAAAACCCCATGAGAAAAATTAAACTTGAATAGAGGAATTTGCAATAAATTATTAATATAAAATTTGTTTAAAATGGACAAAATTGTATTGCACCTGAGAAGGACTAGTATTGTAATGAAAAAGAGATTTGAGCTATTTAAATACAATATAAGTCATAAATTTAATCATGGATTCTATGATCCTGAGGGAGATTAATCGCAAGTAGATGGATCAAGGAGAGCAATGAATATTTTCGATTTCGCATAAACCAGAGATTTGATTTTGTTAGATCCCTACTCTGACGCTTCTTAGTTTGGAGGAGAATCATAATAAGAATTCGAAAAAATTTCAGAGCCAGGAATTAGCTTTTGTAAAAATATTGTAGTACTCATAATGATTTAGTGAGGTTAAGAGGAAGATTGTAAAAAGAATCAAGCAATCTACTGAATATGGACTATATGTTTATTGGATTTAGGACGATTTAAATGGCAAATACTCAATTCGATAATTTCAATGGAATTAGAATTACAATGAGGCCTCCAAGTCATCCAGCTAAACTCGGCTTATATATTAATGTTAGCTTTCGTGAATATGAGCATTACATTGTAAGTATTTTAGTATTAAAGGCATTGCTTTAGGGGCATCTGTTGGATATTTAAAATCCTCGGTCAGATCTATTTTAATAGTATGAGATACCTTTAAGCTTGCTGACTAATGCTAATGTGAGAGATAAAGTTTTGCAGAAAGAAGTAGAAGAGACTTTTAATGTTAAAGGTCTAACTTTCACTGCAGAGAGCACTAATGAGACTCCATTAGGTCAAGAAATTTAGATGGACATAAAGTAAATAGATATGATTTACAATCATGAATTTGAAAAAATGGTAAAAGAGTAATTCTACAGTAGGCCTGTATTCTTCAAATCATTACCTCCAGGCTAAACATACGAGTAAGTATAGGCAATTGATAATGGCCGTGAGATTATAAACTATGGTGATGAATGGAGGAGCAGATAAGCATAAACTCAACATCTCAAGAGGAGTATAAACAATTTCGCTTTTGAAAATAATAGTATCGGTGGAATAAATATTGGATAGCCAGCAAAGGATTAACAAAAGACTCCTTCAAAATTAATTAAAGATAGATTAAATAAATGAAAGAAATATTTAATTGACCTTATTTAATTTCTTGATTTATAGCTTATGGGGTTTTGGGGTTTTGGGG